ACAATTAAATAACTTGCAAATTGTAAATGGACTGAAGCCAAAAATAAATTATTCAATTATTATTATTAGGAAAACATTTATTTACTTTGTATTAAGTTTTGTGTTTTTGTCTTCCCACCATTAGATTAAGAAAAGATGAAAAAATGTGTATATGAAATTTCCATTTCATATTGATATAAACCAGGCCTGTCAATACAGTAAAATAATCATGATTATTATCATAATTTTCAGCAAGTCTTCAGAAAGCAGAAGAAAAACTGAAACCAAATTAGTATTAGAAGTGAAGTAACTAGTAAAGTAACGCATTACTTTTTAATTTACAAGGAAATATATGAGTTACTTTTCTGAATCAGTAACATAGTTACTTTGTTTCCATGTATTGAGTGACAGCTCTGGTGTTGTCATGGTGACAGAAATCAGGAGTAAGTGCAGAGTGTTGTGTGTGAACACGATCTTACTGTAGGTCTAGACTAAATATCAACATGTGTTTACTCATCTCACTGCACACAAACACATTCAGTGTTCCTCACAATCAATAAAAAAAGTGCAATGCAAACCTGCAATAATTTAATAATGTTAAATATACTTTATGTATTTAATCCGATTTTATTAAGCAGTGTCTTCGCTGCTGACCTTCAATGATCCAATTCAACCGTACTAATGAGCAAAAATGACTTTAGATAAACATAACATTTGGGTTTCATTTTTGTTATTGCTGAAGAGTGTTGGACTTTTTCTTCTCCTGCGTTCAACTGTACAGACATGAATTTACATTCCTTTCAGCCCGAGGCGTATTCATTTCACTTTTGCTGTGAAAGGGCTTTGACATCTGCCAAAAATAGAACTTTTTATGTGTCCCTGCAGCACAAAAGCAGTGTTAAGTCGCTGCGGAATATTTGTAGCAATAGCCAACAATACATTGTATGGGTCAAAATTATACATTTTTCTTTTATGCCAAAAATCATTAGGATATTAAGTAAAGATCATGTTCCATGAGCATATTTGGTAAATTTCCTACCATATATATATATATATATATATTAAAACCAAATTTTTGATTAATAATATGCATTGCTAAGAACTTCATTTGAACAACTTTAAAGATGATTTTCTCAATATTTAGATTTTTTTGCACCCTCAGATTCCAGATTTTCAAATAGTTGTATCTCGGCCAAATATGATGTATTGCATACATCAATAGAAAGCTTATTTATTCAGCTTTCAGATGATGTATAAATATCAATTTCAAAAAAATTGACCCTTATATGTATTTAAATACACAAATATTAAAAACAAACAAGCAAGCCCTGTCCAGATTTCAAAAGTAGCACAAAAGTAATGTAACGCATTGCTTTCCATAAAAAGTAACTAAGTAACGTAATTAGTTACTTTTTAACACAATATTGTAATGCATAACTTTTAAAAGTAACTTTCCCCAACACTGCGAGGGTTCAGTGAACAGCACACAGTGTCTCAGAAAGCTGTGTGAGAGTGATTGCCTTGATCCTCCTGCACTCCTCTGGAAAGCTTTGCTCCTTCCGTTTCGCTGCGTCTCCTCGCTCCTCCTCTCTCATTCTCCACCCGTCTCCTCTGTGTGAAGCTCTAAATGCTGTGACAGGAGATGGAGGAGGAGTGATCGTGCCTCGGCAGGCCTGACGGAGTCTGCATGGCATTGTCAGGCCTCTTCCTTTCGAACACAGTGAAAGTCCACCGCAGCAAACAAAAGCATGCAGAAACACGCTTGCTGACTGCTGTATTAATCCATTTATAGACACACACACACACACATACACACACACACACTCACACACACACACACACACACACACACACACACACACACAC